TTGGATAAGTGAGCCCGGCTGGTGTGGCTCAGTGGTTGAGCGTTGACCAATGAACCAGGAGGTCAGGACACAGGCCCGGGTTTCGGGCTTGATCCCCAGTAGGGGGCGTGCAGGAGGCAGCTGACCAATGTTTCTATCTCTCTATCCCTCTCCCTTCCTCTCTGAAATCAATAAAAACACTAGCCTGGATAGATGGTAATAGGAAGCCTCACACTGGAACAGAGCGCATGCCCCTGACGCACAGGAGGTGTTCTGAGAGAGGAAGCTGGTGGGGTAGGCACGGCAGCCAGACTGTCCCTCATCACAGATGGGGAAACCGAGGCTCAGACAGTTTACAGACCTCCCCCAGGTCACCACGCCCGAGGGGAGTGGCAAAGCCGGGATGCGGGCTCAGGTCTTCAGATTCCAGGCCTGTGGCTCTTGCTGGGATATCAGGCCGTCCTCTCTCTGGAACCTTCTACCTGTCTCCAGCATTCAGGGATCTCAGCTCCCGGCTCTGTCCGCTCACTCCCGGGAACCCTGCACTCGGTGTCTTTCTCCCTCAGCAGCGACTGCCCCCTTCACCCGAAAGGCCCCCTGGGAACGCCAGCCGTCGGTGACACTGACTGGGGAGGGAAGCAGCATTTCCCAGGCCACGCCCTGCCTGCATCCGTCCCGGTTAGCAGCTTCCGCTCAGCCCTGGGCGGCCCGGCACTCTGCATGCCCAGCAGGTGCGGCCAGGCTCCGGGGCCCAGGACCACACTCGGGTAGCAAGCGGGAGCTGTGGGATCGCTGTGAATGTCACCTGCCTGGTCTGTGGCTGGTGCTATGCCCTCCCCTCTCCTCACCATCTCTCTCCCGAAGCTCAGGGTTAGCGCTCGTCTCAAAGGCACAAGGCAAGGGTATCCTCCTTCCTTTCACGGCAGCTGCCACCGCTTTGGGAGCAAGCTCCTCGTGCCCACTGGCACCCCCCACCCATCGGGGTCCGGAGCGGCAGCCGCCCTCCAGGATTGAGAGGCCTGGGCACCGCCTCCCCCGCCTCTCCTGGGCCCCACAGCCTTGCAGGCGGCCCTCCTGGCCGGGCGGGTATGAGGGCTGGGGCGTCTCCGCTTGTTGAAGCCGTGCCCTTGCCCGAGAATCCTCGCTGACAGCTCATCCCTATTAATTCTCATTGTGCACTTCGAGCCAATAGGCTTCTATTTATTCATTTATCTTGGTCTTCCTTCTCCCTGCCCTTCCTCACCGGCTGGAATTTACAATTCAGTTCTCAGGTGGCTTTGCTGAAGGACAAAGCCTGGGGCGGAGAGGGTCTGCACCCCAACCCTGAAAAGGGCAGCCACCCCTGGGCCCCCCTTCACCCTCAGGGTGCTCTGGGGCTCAGGCTCCAGGTGGTTGGATGTTGGGACAGCCCGGCTCCCGCTGCAGGAGGGCTGCCTGGGAATAGGGACCCACCGGGCCACCGCTAGGTTAAGGGATCATTGGGGCGCCCCCTGGTGGCCGATTAACAACACCTGCTGAGCTGGAGGAGTTGAAGGAGCCGGAGCACCCAAGGCCGGCCTGCACCCTGGCACTGGAACTCCTCAGGCGGAAGTGAGGCAGAGAAGAAAAGGCAGGGACGGACACCGCCAAGGGCACAACAACAACAACAGGAAGCACATAACAGTACTGCACACTGAGCAGCTACTATGTGCCAGCACTGCACCAGGACCCCGGGGCGGCTGCGTCCTGGCCCGGCACCATGGCAGAGCAGGGACCCTAAGCGGGGAGGGGAGACCCAGCCACCCGGTGGGTGAGCTCCCAGCCGCCTTCTAGACCGAGTGACCTTGGCAGGATTTAGGCGACACCTTCTAATCCCTGAGCTGGGATTAGGACGGGCGCCCGAGCCACAGCATCCTAAAGACAACAGGCCCTGCTGGGAGGAGCTGCAATCAACGAGGGTGTGGGGGGTTGAATCCATCTGGGTGGGACCCCTCCTCCCTGCGGAAGCCCGGCCCCCGCCCAAGGCAGCCTGCCCTCCACCCAACCAGGCAGCGTCCCCACCCTCCTGGGCTGCACATCTGTCATCAAAGACAGAGCCACTGGCCGCCTGGAATGAAGCAGCTGCATCCATCAGACCCCGAGGACCCGCGATGAGGGGATGTGAGAGCTCTGCTCCCCGGCCTCCTCCCGTCACCCCAGGAGGAAAGCCGGGGTCCGAAGCCTCTTCCCAAGCCCAGGACTCCAAGGCACTGCCTAGGCTCGGGCTGCTCAGCGTCAGGACTCTGGGGTGACCAGCCACCCTGGCAGCTGCGCTGGGCTCTCTGTGGAGGGCGGAGGTCCAGGGCGAAGGGCATCCCAGCAGCCTTGGCCAGGGGAGGCCTTGGACTTGCCTGTGAGGGTCATCTCCTCTCTCCCGGCCCTTGACCAGAAGCTGGCCCAGTGAGTGATGATTTAGCTGCCTGCCCCTCCCCCTGCCAGCACATTCAGGAAATGATTAATATTTAAGAGAAGAAATACGGTTAAGGCTAATCCGAGAGAGAAGCAGAGGTTGACGCTGCCCAGGGAGTGTGCGCAGAAGTCCTCACCTGAGCTGGGTGGGCAGCCAGCCCGGGGTGCGGACAGAGCCTGGCCCCCCCCCCCCCCCAGCCAGTGCCGCTCTGGGGTCCCCAGTGCCCTCATCCCCACAGACTCTCCGGCCCCAGCTCCCAGCCTTTCCGCCGCCCCTCTCCCCAGCCCAGCCACTGCCCACAGTGACAGCTCACGACTTCACCACCGAGCAGGGACCTGCCTGCCTGGGCTGACTGCCCTGGGAGAGGACTGAAGTGTCCCCTGGGGCTGAGGCCTCCTCAGGAGCCTGCCAGGGATGCCAGCTCAGTCCAGCCATAAACCCAGAGACCGGGAGGCCCTCCCCGCAAGGACACGGAGGCAGCAGACAGCCTGAGGTTAATGCTGAGCCCCTCCCGTGAGCTCCCGCAGCCTGGCTGCCCTGCCCGGCCTCCTGCCAGGCCCTGAGCCTCCAGAACAAGCCCAGTGGGGAAGGCACTTCTCAGAAGGTGGTTTAGCTCAGTGACTTGGGGACCAGAATACTTCCTGGTGTGTGTGGGCCTCAGTTTCTCCATCTGTATGATGGGAATGGCAACAGCTAATATCTAAGGGGCACGTGCTCTGTGCCAGACACTAGCCTGAGCATGTTACACATACAAATGAGCTCACGTATTCCTTACAATGACCGGAGTGTGCCGTTAGCGTGCCCATTTCACAGATGGTGGATTGAGGCCCAGAGATGCCACTGGTCCAGAGCCATCCACCCCAACTCCTACTTTGGGAGCACAGAGTCAACCTGGCTGCGCTGAGGGGAGGACTCCATGGAATGACGCATGTCTAGCTCCAAGCCCACGCACTCAGGGAGCTTGCATGCATGACCCCTGCTATTATTACTGCTGTTGTTGTTAACATTACCTGAGCACTGCCATACCTCGTGCCACGTGGGGATGGAATTGGAAAGGGCACCAGCCACGCTGCCATCCTGGTCTAACCCCTCCTGCCTCCCTCTGCCCTTCCATCACCCACCAGCTGCAAAGGGCCAGCTGCGAGCTTGGCATACCCTGGCCGGGCAACACTGTTTGCTGGATCGGATCAGGTGGGATAGGGAGGCAGAAGGGACGAGCAGAGGGAGGTCAGCAGGTAGCCTTGCTCACTGCCCAGAATGCAGACTTCCTACCAGGGAGGCGGGGCTTGTCTGGTGGGCGGGGCATAGCTGGGAGGCTGGGACTGTGACAACTACGGTTTTCCCAAGTGAAAAGGATCCAGCGGTCCCCTGGGCAGGAACTTCCCCACCCCAGAGAATAATGTCACATGACCCCAGGGTCCTCAGGGCGGCCTTCGCTTTGGCACGTTTCCAAGGTGGGACAGACTCCAAACTGCGTTCAAGTCAACCTTTTGCCTCGGCGCCCCCACTCTGCTCACCCACCCCCAGGGGCCATCCCAGACGCCCTCCCATTGGCCCCGAGCAGACAGAGCCCCAGTGGGCTGACTCACGTGGGAGCAGAATCTCTCAGGGGGGTCTCCGCACGTGATGCCCTTGGGCTCCACCTTCACCTTGACATAGTCCTTCAGGCGCATCACCTTGGGCTGGCAGGCGTAGAACTCCCAGGTGGGGCCCTCATCCGAGGTCACCCAGGATTTGCAGATGTCATAGTCCCCGGCGGCCAGCGGGAGGCAGTGCAGGAGGAGAGCCAGCAGGCCCAGCATGGCTGTGCAGTCCGGGGGGCGCGGCCCAGAGGGGCCCTGGAGAGGCTGCGGCTGGGTCAGGCGGGGCTCGAGGCCTCAGCATGGACAGGCCGCATCTGCCAGGCGGTAGAGGCGGAGGTCCCGGGGAACGTCGCTGCCCGGGAGCAGCGAGGAACTTGCTTTTCCCCAAAGGCCGGGAAGAAACCTCGGAGCCAGCGTTTCTCAGACTGCTGATGGGCAGATCAAACGGTGGCCCATCACTTGGAGTCCTCCTGACCTTGGCATTCCCCCTCTCCCGCAGGGGAACCTGATCAACTCAGGCAGACTCTCCGGTGGTGACAGAGGATGGAATGGGATCGGGAGGCACTCCGCGGGGAGCTGGCATGGGGCCGGATCAGAGTGCCTTTAATTTCTGTCCTTCCAGCCAGTCCTGGTCTTTAAAGGGCCCTTCATGTGTGATGTGCACACCACTCCCGCAAAACAACCCTCCGGCCTGTGTTGTAAAGATGAAATGAAATCAGGAGGTGGACGGGTGAGCTGGAAACCTGGTCCCTCTACGGGACTGGACTTGGCATCTCAGACCCATAAAAGAGATTTCTTTTCATGTGAGTTGAAAGTGACAACGATTGTGTGGCTGGACTGGAACATAAAAAAGCGACGGAGGTGTTAACTGGGGAGCCGCTTATTGGGCTCTGCCTGGGTGGGGACCGGCACGAGTGGGGGCCGGCTGACCTTGGCTGGTAGCCATTGGCAACTTAGGATGAAGTTTCTGGGACTTCAGCTCCATCCAAGCGGGCACGCAGGGTCTGGCTGGTCTTTCATGGGAGGAGGGAAGGAGAGCTCATTAGCAACAACACCTGCAACAAATTAAAAAGAGAAGAAGGGGGGACAGAGATGTAGAAGAACAAAAGCTCTCCGGCAAAATGTACAAAAAAATGAGGCTGCATTAGCGAGGTCTCTGAGGAAGCTGGGTTATTTTTATTAATATTGGAGTTGCACATTTGGAGGCCGGGCACATTATTAAAAAGGTGGTGCGTTTTCTCCTCGCTTACTGGGGGCGTTGGGCCAGCAGAAGTGCCCTTGCTTGGGGCCGGCGACTCCCTAAACATCCTCAGCAGCCAACGATGAGCGGTGGCTTTAAAACGCCTGACCGACCAGTCAAAACGTCAACACGGAGCTGCGATTGTAGCCCTAGCGCCGGTGGGCTGTGCGTACAGGCAGACAGCGGGCCAGGAGCGGCCAACGGTCGGTCGGATCAACACCTCTCCGAACTCGGAGCCGGCGAGTTTCATTTTCAACCCTAAGAAAGGAGGGGTGCTGAAGCCTTCCACAGAAGTGACAGCCCTCTGTCATTTGGGTTTTCTGATCGAGGCCAACAGTTTGCAACCATCCGCAGAGGGGCTGTTTATAAACGGATCACTATTATGATTATGGCTTTCCTATTTTAAGCTACTGGCAATTATCTTAAAAAGCCCAAATAGATGTGACTAATACGGATGTCCTCTTGCGAAAAACACGAGCCCGGTAATGTGCTGTGCTCCCCTGCAGGGGATAGATATACATCACTAGGAGGAGTCCAGCCGGCGTGGGAGCCCCACCAGAAACAGGAGCCAACAGGGCAAAGGTCACCACCGTGAGTCACGGCAGAAACCCTGCCTTACTAAGTATGCTGGTTCTCACGTAGGCAATCATTGCATCTAAGTCCCCCAAGGGCTGCAGCATGGTGCCAACCAGCCAGGCTCCCCTGGACACCCCCACCAGCTGCTGCACGAAACCCCATTCTCCACCCAGACACAGACGCACTCCTGCCCGCAGGACAAACTGGGAGGGTGGGCATGGTCCCCAGGGGGCTTGGCAACCCAGCACCTTCCGGGGAGAAGCCAGTGCCCTGAGCTCCAGGCCCAGGTCGGCCCCGGTCGTAAATCTGAATTAAGGAGGCGGCCCCTGCCCCCTGGGCTGGCTGAAGAGCTCTAGATGGAGATGGATGAGGGGGAGGGGACCACATTTTCCCGGCTCACCTCTGGCTGTAAACGAAACCTATTATAGAGGCTGCCCGGCCTTGAATTCGCTCCTGGCTAGAAAACTCTCAGAAAGAACCCGCCTGGCGACTATTTTTACAACCCGAGAAATTGTAGTAAAAATAAAATAGCGCGGCCTGCAAAGGTTTGGATGCTTCTACCCAAGTGAGCTTTGTGCCGCCCAGAACACAGCAGGTCCCTAATGAATCCTTCCAGCCTCCAGTCCCAACTGTTCCCCAACAGGTAGGGTCTCCGGAAGGCAGAGGGGGCTCCGGGACTCGGGGCTGGGCGGGCGCCGGGTGGGCACTGGGCGGGCGACCAGGAGGCCGGGGCAGGCGGAGCAACCAGGCTACTCCCAAACCTATTCATCGCATGGCAGTTCTGTTGGCTTAAATGCCACGCATTCCCTGGAAAATGGGGCGGACAACAACCAAATCCGCCGGGGGCGGGGGTAATGGATATGTTTACAACTAGTCAATCAATTGGGCGCCGCCGTCGGGGAGTTGTGAACTCGGCAAGAGAATATGACAGCCGGTTTTTGCCAAAAAGCAAAAAAGGGAGGGGGCGGAGGGACGCCACAGGCCCCGGAACGGGGAGGCGGAACGCCGGGTGGAGAGCCCGCGGGGACGTTTCACGGTGAGAGGTTGCGTCCCGGCGGATCGGCTTCTCCTCGGAAAATAAATCTCCACCTGGTATTATGAAGAAACTGCAGCCCCCGAAACAAATGGAATCGATGCGCTTTATTTTCTTTTAAGAGTCCTCGGAGCCGAGGGGGGGCTGATAGCCAGGGTATTAAAACCCGAAAATTAGATTTTACCAGGATTTCTCAACTCCGCTTTCTCTGTCTTATTGAATTAGCGCCTCTCCGAGCGGGGAGCTGGCTCCTCCCGGACCTGCCGGCTGCGCCCTGGCCTCGTGGGAAAC